TTCCTTCCTTCCTTCCTTCCTTCCTTCCTTCCTTCCTTCCTTCCTTCCTTCCTTCCTTTCTTTCTTTCTTTCCTGGCCTTTTCCAATCTCAAAGATTCCCATTAGACAGTATACTATTATTGCCTATCTTATATTCCTATGTGCCGGTTTTCATATTAGTGGTGGGTTTCAACAACATGCCTACATAGATAAAGAACCCAAGTAATTACTTTTCTTTACCTCCCCCCCTCATTTCTGTCTCATCTTTCTATATAAAAACCTCCCTTCATCCTTCTCATCTTGTCAATATGATAGTAATCCCTTTGTTTCCATTCTTTAGACTATATGGGTGCAGCCGGCAGGAGCCTGTGGTAGAAGTTCTATCTTCTGGTCCAGTCATGTCTATCGTATGGAAGAAGGGGATGTACAGCTACTATGATCCTTTCATACTCTCTGCTCAGGCAGTGCCCTTTGAAGGTAAGCCAGGATATGGATAGAAGGAGATAGAAAATGTAGATTGCATTTGTGAACTTCTAGAGACCTACCTTTTTATATATTTTCCAGTTTATGGTGCTGTTATCTCTAAGATGGCACATAACTGCAACTGAGTAGGGTTCAGCAAAATTGCAGAATAGTTTGGCCAAGGGATTCACAAACATTTGGATAAGAAGTTCAGATCAGATCAGATCTGGCATTAAGAAGGATATCTTATATTAAGGTTATTTTGGAGAAAATAAAAGTTGTGTTGCAATTACCCATAGTACACTCTAGGCGAGAGCAGAAGGATGAGTTTCAGTATTGCTTGGACTGAGCTTAATCTAGTCTGCTATAGGCCTATTCAGTATATAAATGCTATATTCCCATTATACTGTGGAACTTTGTGGTGACCCAACTGGAAATATCAAAACTCTGGAGCCCCCTGGTCCTTCCCCCAGCTAAGATGCAATTGTACTTTGCTACCTGCATGTCCTCCTCAGTTCCTCCAATGGGCAGTTTTGCTGCTGTCCCCTACCCATGCCTTGCACAGGGACTAGTCCGATTTCTTCTGAACCTTCCCCACCCTCACCCCTTGCTGCAATAAGCAAATATAAATGTAGAAAACTACCTCATGTTTTGCTTTTGTTTTGCACCCTCCCACTGGTTAGCTAGAAGGAGCACTGGCTGGAAGCATGGTAGGACAGAGTGCAGCTGTGGTAGGAAACAGCTGAAAAGTGTTTAAAAAATAAAGCCAGTGCTGTGGGGGAGTTCTTCTATTCTGAGATCATAAACATAGCTCATATAGCCTGCAAACTGTTCAGATTTAATTCCTGGTTTTAGGCAGTGGATCTGAGAAATGGAATCTTTTGCTTGATTGTGGGAAGAGCTCATGTAACTGCCTGCTGGAGGAGGCCTCTTCATGTACTGGGTTATATGCCAGCTGAGAATTATGGGAAGAGGGTAGTCTAGCACTTCTTTACGGTACCTGGAGTGGAAAGACAGCAAATAAATAATTTGATAAATTATGGTCTGACTCAGTGTACGGCAGCTTCATTTTTTTTTCTTGATCAAAACAAAATCCTTTCAGTATTGACATCAGGGTGCATAACAACTTGAAGGAGTTTGCTTCAAATGAATCTGTGAATCCAGTTGCAGAAAAGAAAATAGTGGATTGTTGGCTTATAAGTAGGTAAAAATGCCTCTGTGTGGAAATGATTATAACACATGTGCACCAATCATGGACAAAGCTACATCAGAGAAATGGTCAATCAAACCCCAAATATGGAAAAAAATTCTGTATAACTGGCAGGCTTTAGATGGGTTATGCATCTTGATTGGCAGTAGTTCTCCAAGGTTCCAGACTGAAGTCTTTTCTAAGAATTGTATAACTAGAGATTGGAAATGCCAATCTCCAGGAATAAACTTTTACCATCACCACGGCCACCACACTTTCATCATGGCCACTGCTACTGAACCTTGACTGTTGGATGGAGCATCGGAGCTTGGACATAGCCAGTTTAGCTGGAGATCAGCCTTATCCTATTTAATCTCCAGGTGACAGTGGATTACAGTTACCAGTGTTGTGCTGACTGAGGAATGTGGACTTCATAGTTCAGCAATATCTGGATACTAAAGGTTAGGAAGGATTGAAGAACAAGCTGCCAGTTAAGTTTTATAAAATATATCCCAGTCTGAGTTGCTAGTAATGAAGAGCTAGGAGCATTAGCAGAAGAACTACAGTGGCTCTCCCCCAAGGAAGGGCATTGCATCTTGTTTGGAAGACTCATAAGTAGGGTCTGATGTGAAATTCAGATCACCAGAATTTTTAGATGAATGTTCTGATTTGAACAGACCAAATATAAAGGCTCACCTAGAGCACGTATACGTGTTACAGTCTGCACTTTGGGGAATCTTTGCAGCACAGTTTATAACTGGAAAATGCACACCAAAGTAAGTATATCATTATTAAATGCCCGCCACAAGTATGTTTAAAGAAAATAATAGCTCAAAATATATGTTCCTATAAATAAATTTCTTTTTTAAAAAGGTGTGCATGCAGGAAAAGCGTATATGAAAATGTTTATATTAAAAGTGAGCATAAATATGCTGTGCAAGATCCATGTTTTTTTTCAATGAATAGTAAACATAGGATGAACAAAAATTGCCAGTGGCAATCAGATGAGAAAATCGTTGAAAGTGAAATAAATGGCTTCACTCATGCCTATCATAGCCTAATATGACAGTATTCCTATTTCCTGTTCTCATTTTTGGCAGAATAATAAACATGAGCAAAATTTTCTATGGATCTCAGTTGGTGTGACAATGCTTCTGTCTTTTCAGCCTGCCAGAAGAATCTGACACTGAAGGAAAGCTGGGAACTGCAAGGGAACATCAAGACTCCTTACTATCCTAGTTACTATGCGCCAAATACACAGTGCACTTGGCACATGATGGTACGATCTTGGCTGTTCCTAGGCAAAACTGAGCTGTGTGTACTTTTGCATTTAAATAACATCAGCCAAATGTTGTGGACAACATGCCATTACTTGGTTATTTTACATTCTTATTATATTTATATTCTACTCTTCCATGAAAGTTGTACAGAGCACTCCACATGAACAGATATTTAACACCATTTAGTTGAGTGAATGGAGACTTGAACCTTTGTGTGTTGAACAGTCTAAAAGTGCCAGTATTCTCATATTTTATGAGCCCTTACTGATCTCACTGAAGATATATTTTAATGCAGTCTCTTTTGTATTTTATGTAAACTGTTTTTCCTCTTCCTCTCTCTCCGAGCCCTCCTGCTTTGTTACACTCACTTTTTTATTTGTGAACCAGGAGCAAAACTCCATTTCTGTATGTATCTAAATAAAACTCTGAGCTGTTATCAATCTTTTATCTCTCTCTCCCTCCCCCCCCCCCCCCCCCCCCCCC